TACATATATCAATCATCAATCCCAAGAACGGTATGTATTTGTTGATTTCCTCTGTAAAACTGATACATACTGCAGGTGAACAATTGGACCATACTCCCAGCCTCTCCCAAAGAGAAAGATGCAGAACTTGTTTGTTTGATTCAGCTTTGATATTATGGCCTAAAATTTGGGCCATTGATCTCAGATATCAAAGCACAGCTACTTTCTTTTTCAGGGAAACCCTCATTTCTCTAGCCCCACACTTCATGATTCAGCCCTTTGCATTAAAAGGCTCTCCCTTGCCATACTGGTCAAGGGGAGGTACCTAACCATTCATCATCTTTATGGAAGTTGTCTCATTTCATATGTTTCAATCTTTCAACTGCTGAATGTGAGATAACTATATGATTGTTAGATGAGTTAAATGGAAACTGGTGTTTGGTTCGGTCGAATTCTGGTGGTTTCAGTTTCAGGTATCGTTCTTGCACATTCCAACACGAACACGCAGGAGTGAACGAACAGCAGGCGTACAGCCTGCAGCCTAAGGAGGGAGCAAATCTGATCAGAACTTTGTCTTCATGTTATCAAGCAAGTATGAATGAGAAACCCTGAAGTCGATTATAGAGGAGCTTTATGTTAACCGTTTTCTGTGGAAGTTTAAGCAAGAGCTTAGGCTCCTAGGCTGACTTATATAGGTATGCCATCTTTTTTTAATATCTTGTGAATTCATATTACATCTAATTTGGTCATTCCCATCCAAAAATATTTCTAGGCAGTATTGGTTGTTTGTCATAAAATGTTGTGAGCTATTGATCGATGAGTCAAATGCTAAATGAAAAGAGTATATTCGTACTCATATAGCAATAGAACTTCTCGAACGTGCTTAAATTCTCAACCCCTCAATAACAGTCTTTTCTCTACTTTCTAAGTGAAGGGCTGGTATCACTATAGTATATGGGTCGTGATGTACCCATTGTAGTAACATTAGGTACATAGAGACTTTACAGTTGGAGGTACATACAGTTGGAGGTAATGCATGTAATGATTAGTAAATAGTTTGAGAAATTTTGAAGACTCTTAAGATGAAAATTTGAATATGCAATAATTTAAAAATACTCCACTCCTCCTTTCGAAGATTGAGAACTCGAAAATTTAGGTATTGAGAAACATATTGTCTACGTTAAACATATTTTTATACGATCAATTAGTTCCATTATTTCATGAAGTTTAAACTCATATTTCAGGGTAATTTGCTATTAAGTTGAATTAGTCTCTTAATTTTAAAAGCATTTAACAATTTAATTCTTAGCTAAATTTTGAATATTTCAAAATTTAGTTTGATTTTTTTAAAATATAGATATACGTAAATGATCAGACCAAACAAGAACCCTATTTAAGGATTTGAAGACTGTTAAACATAAAATTAAATCTTAGAACAAATAGATCAATTAATTTTTAAAATTTGTCAAAAACAAACTTTAAATAATTACTTAAAACAAGCTACTACAATTGAAACCATTTAAAGTAAATAAGACCTGTCATTCAACCCTAAAACGTACCTTTATATATATATATATATAAAGTTATAGAAAATAGTCTCATTTTGAAGCTGCTAGAGCCAAACAAGCACAAGAGGGCATTTCAGATATGATGAGAAGAGACCTGCAGAATCAAAGATTTAGTAGTGGGCAACAAAGCTAAAGCTTCACTATGTACCAAAATATTATAGATTCATATTAAGAATTTACTTACAAAATATAGTCAAAGCCATGGCTTCTGAAGACGAACATGTATATAATTCAAATCAAGACCACCCAATTATGAGGAATACAGGAGAGCACACAGACAAGCTGAGTTTATCGAATCGGATAAGTTAGTGCACGAGCAACGTACACCAGTGGAAAATCGATGCAAACACGAGGGAGCAAACCAAACTAAACCAAGTACTATCAGGCCAAATTGTTGTTCTCATTATAGACATGTAGGCAATGTCACTCCATGACAAACAAAAGCCAGCACCAAGTAAGCAATCATTAGGAGGAGAATTATCAGCATTACCCTGCAAGATTTAAGGCATTTTATAGAATATCATCATCTTTTAAGACATTGAGATGCTTCCTAAATGAAACTTGCATAAGCAGAAGTCGAACAAACCGAGCCTACAAGGAAATGTTTAGCTGAAAGGAACTTTTCTTTTTTGGTGGGTGTGTTAGTAGCAAACACATGCTTTCCATAATTAAATTAAGAGTTTAACCATGCAGTTATTCATTTAGTTTACACGTGGCAAATTATAAGTGTGAGATCCCACATCGGTTGGGGAGGAGAACGAAGTATTCTTTATAAGGGTGTGAAAACTTCTCCTTATCAGACGTGTTTTAAAAACCTTAAGGAGAAGTCCGGAAGTAAAAGTTCAAAAAAGACAATATCTGCTAACGGTGGGCTTGGACCGTTATAATAAGTGTCTAATTGTCATAGTTTTCATAATTAAATTCTCAGCTGCTTATGTCACCAGATGCAGAGTTGCAGGCATAAAACCAAAATGCAGAAACAATCTTACGCCAGTGTTAGTACTGATGGAAAGAGTAATTCTTTAGAATAGGAGGAAACATACATGAGCTTCACATTTTTCCACCATACAGTGTTTCTGAAACGTCGAGCCTGCTTCCTAAATCGCATGGTGTTTCCTTGCATGTTAGTAGTTTTATCCACGAGCAGCTCCAAGCGATCGCCTCGCTCTAAAACTTTGTCAATATTCTCTATCATGACATTTCGCACCTGTAAAACATAATAACTATTAATCATCAATCACACGAGCTAATTGCATAACTAGGAAGCTAAACATTTACGGTGAAAGATTATACAATATACACTCCAAGATTGACATGTATTAGAAAGCTGAGGCTGGATCTATATTTTTTTTCTTCTTTAACAACTTTTTCATTATACTTCTTTTGGCCAAATTTATTCTTCCTCCCGAGTAACATACACTATTTTGTTTTCTTGTATGGTAAGAAACACTATATCATTGTCTGATAGCAGAGTGGCTGAATAATGATGATGGAATATTAGAATAAGGTACTGGAAGTGTCACACCCAAAAGGCCAACAGAAACTAATAGAATGCAACAAACTAAACAAGCTTTCTCACAGTCTTTATCATTCCAAACGACCTGCCCCACCCTCGATCCACCCAGATTTAAAATATGAGTGTCGCCCCATTACATCCTAGAGTAAGTGAAGTTAAGAAGTTGCTGCTTGCTATCTTGTGCTGTATAAGAGTACAGAAATAAAAACTTGAAATAGTTTAGTAGTCACCTGACTCATTTCACCTTTCAGCCGGTTGATCCTATCTGCATTTGGGTCGTTAGAGTAGTATTCCATTTGCTGACTCAAAACTCTTGAGAATTCATCGTTCATGCCATAAGCATTGGCTGAATGAACTGCACGGCCATATGTCCTTACGAATCTCTGATGAATATCTTCAAGGAATGCAAAAGGAATCCTCCCTGAAGAAACCAAGTTGTCATTGCCAGTAGAACTCAAAACTAAATTGACTGAATTTTACTGTCGGTCGGGCAAGCAGATCAAGATTGATAAACATTTCAATGATTCTTCATGCCGGTATATTTCACAAGATAGTAACAAAATCCCTCGCACTGGTCATTTTGATGTCACTTGAAATGAATTGAAAATCACGAAAATTAAAATATCGTCTAGATTCTATACATATATAAATGTCATCCAAAATCTAGAGTTACTTTCTCTTGGCGATCATCCAAACTAATCAAGCAACAATTGCAGAGAATTAACGGTGAACAAACAGACCAAGCAAATCAACAGATTTCTCCAAGAACAACTTATAATCTATGAAATAAACCATCCTTAAAGCTAAACATACTCCCCATCTTCAAACTCAAAGACTATACTCTTAGTCTCCCGCAACTTACAGAAATCAACAAGCATGCTGTACAGTACAACTACTAAATAACCAAACAAAAATTATCCAGTATTTTGCACCAGACTACTTAATTGCACAACGCATCAGCACAAAAAAAAAACGGAAATGAAACCAAATTCTCAACAACGAGACTACAATTAAAAAATTGAGAAAAACAGAGAGAGCGATCCTCACTTCCGGCAGTGTCATCGGCCATACAGAGCACCGTAAGGCCATCGGTACGCTTGACATGAAAGAGATACCGATCCTGCGAGTAGGAAACATGAGAATCATCGTTTCCCGGAATTTTATCGAGTATTTGACGAGAAATCGAGCTCGCATTCGTCGGAGTAGCAGAAAATTCGGCCAGAACCACCGATCCCCTGGCAACCAAAGCGTAAATTATCGCCATCAGAGTGGAGATAAGATCGATTGACTGCAAGAAGCAGGTCGATGAGTGGAGCTGACGCAGCTGCTACGTGCTGGAAGATCGGGATCTTGAATTTCTCACCGGCAGTTTCAAATTCAGGAGTTGAAAATTATCAGAGAGAGAGAGAGAGAGAGAGAGAGAGGAAGAAATCGAAATTAGGTTTTTAAAAATCAAGATCGCCAACACAGCGGGAATGAGCTAGAAAGTTTGTTCCAACTTTTTTTCTCTTTCAATTATTATTTCAAAAGTTAAAATAAAGTAAGTTAATGAAGAGAGAGATAACATTTTGACTTTATTATTTATTTATTATTATTTAAAAATATCTAATTAAAAATATTTAAATGTAATTTTAAATATGACTCAGCATTATCCTAGTTGGAAATAAAATTCAAACCCAATTTTAAAAAATAAAACATATATTCGATTATTATTTAATTTTTGTTATTTTAAAATTTTAAAATAGAAAACTAAAATTGCGAAAAAACAATTTAATGTAGCTTCCCTACGAGGGCAATAAGGTAATTTCAGAAGGAATATTGGGCTATTATTCCAATTTAAATTTAAAGGAGTAGAATTCGGGGTCATTTTTGGAAAAGGAAAAATAGGGCTATAAATAATTTATAGCCATTTTTTCCGGACTGTGGAAATACTTTCACCGAGAAGAAGCTCAAGGAAGAAGGTCGCGGGCGAGACGGCGACAGTTCGGTGTTTGCTTCTCAAGCATTCTCTCTCTAACATTCTCTCTCTATATCTCTTCATGGATACAGACAGAATCCGAAAGCCAAAGCTCAGATAATTTCCTAATTTACTCGCTGCACGCGGCTTCAGGTGGCTACGTTTTTCTCCTTTGCTGGCGTGAGATTCTAGTTCCATCTGTCCATTGTCAGATTTTCCACCTCTTGTTTTGTGTTTTCCGATTCGATCCGACGGAAAAACGCCGCTGATTGCTCTGAAACTCGGGCAGGAGGTCGTTCATCGAATGGTTAATTGGATTGGATTCGATTGCGTAGCGGATAAGGAAGAGGATCTCGTCAAATTTGTGTTTCCGATCCTGATGATTGTATTCAGTTTGTGGAAATTTTAGGAGAAATTTGAAGTATGATGCAGAATCGAAGTCCGCCCAAACATAGACATGATGGAACCTCGCCGTTGCCTCTTGGAATGGACTGGAGTCCTCCTCCTCGAAAATGGGTTGGTGTTGGATTCTGATTATGTGAATTTATTTTCTTAGAATTGGATTATGAGAACTTTTTATACATTACTCGGGTTTTCTTTGGATTTTTCTTCGTGGATTGATCGAATGGATTTCACTGGCTTTGTTGTATTTATTTGTCCGGCTTGCTAGATAATGGAACGTTGAATTATCACTACTGTTTTTATCACGATCTCATTGATTTGTAACTCGATCACTAAAATCTATTTTCAAGTTGTCGTCCAAACATACCATATTTACTTTATGTTACTTCTGAGGAGTTTCATTGTTCTTGGTGTACCATACCATATTTTACCTTTTCTTTTCTTTAGGTTGCAATGTTGTTCATACCAATTGTCATTCAAAAATAATAATAAAGATTTGCTATGAATGCTTGAAGGTTTTGGTGTCTTGTAGTGGAAACGACTAGTCTCTGAAATTTCAGTCAGAAAGTTATCTCATTTTAAGTGATATTTTTAGAAGGAAAGTTAGAACTTGCGGCTTAGCTCTACGTTTTTGTCAATGTTGGGTGGTGTATGGCAGCTATCTCCTCGTTTCTTTTACGATTCACGGCACTCTTTATGTTTGATGATTTTTATTTTAATGTTCACTAGGAAATCTTTCATTTCTTGTGCAGAATGGGAAGGACACAGTTTGGCCTCACGATCATCACACTGGATGGAGTTACTGTGTTATAATACCTTCATGGGTTGCCCTTCCGAAAACACGAGCTGCAGATCCTGTAGTGGTATACTTATCAACTTCCCCATTTTCTTTTGGTATTGATGGTTTGATGTTGTTAATTGCATATTTGTGCCTCTAAAAATAACAGCGTAGTTGTAAGCTAATGCTGATGCAGAATAATCACCTATATTATTAGAAGTTGCAAAATATGATGTCGCGAGAAAATGTGTTCTAGCTGCGATGGATTAACTAAATATAGGCGCAATTAAATTCTCGTGTATGAATCGACTTGTCCGTTTTTTAGCATTTATATTTTATAGCGTAGCACCTCCTTCTTTCCTTGTACATTAACATTATCAAGGGACAGTTCTACAGGGTTCAGGTTGGTGTACAGTCACCTGAGGGGATCACAGCACTACGGAGAGTTTTAAGGCGATTTAACGATTTCCTAAATTTATTTTCTAATGTAAGTTGACGCCTTTCATTTTATTTGGGAATACCCCTTTTCACATTGAAAATTACTCCCATTTTTTAATTGTTATCAGTTATGAGATTTTATCACTTGCCAGATTAAAAAGGCTTTTCCGAAGAAAAGTATTCCACCAGCTCCATCCAAAGGGATCTTGCGGATAAGAACCAGGGCTCTCTTAGAGGAGGTGGGCAATCTGCAGAAGGATGCACACATGAGCATATCATTTAATTTCTATTCACCCTCAGTCTCTTTGTTTACTCTACGGAACCTTGCTGGAAAATATTTTGTATGATTTGATAACCCTTGCATGAATCAATCCTTCCGCCAATATGTAAGGAAATAAGAATCATCTTCTACAGGATCTAGGAATGAAGAACATTAGAATAAGTACCGACTGTTTTAGACATTCTTATGACATGCCCAAGATTAGACACAGTATGCTTGGACCCTGATGTATTTGTCATGCATTCCTCTGCAATAATTTCTTTGAAGGAAAGTAGGAATCATTAATCACCTAGTTCTACTGTGTTCTAGCGAGTTGGAAGTCTAAACCTTTTGGTTTTTGAGATGAGAGGTGTTGACGGTTACCCATTTTGTAATTCTATATTTATGCACTTTGGTTGTGTATCAGTAAGACTGTAACTATTATTTTTCACAGGTTTAATTTTGTTGCAGAGAAGGCGTTCTTTGGAGGAATGGTTGACGAAGCTGCTATCTGACATTGATATCTCAAGAAGTGTTGCAGTCGCGTCCTTTCTTGAGCTAGAAGCTGCTGCTAGGTCATGTAAGTTCTTTCTTGCTTAAGAGTGTACTTCAAAAATGTCTTTGCTTTTGTATTTATCTAGTTTTTACCCCTGGAAGTTTTAATTCTAAACGCCATTACATGCAGTTCTCCATAATCTATATATTGGAGTTTTAACATTTTAATTCCTGTCACAATTTTTTCAGCTTTCCAAAATGATAATCAGGAGGAGCCTTCAGGTGAATACCCTGATTATAACTGCCAAATTTCTGCACATCAATCCCCTCCTAATTCAAGCTCATCTACTGTTGTTGGTGGTTTGTCGCTGGCATCAGATTATGGTAGTGATACTGCTTATGAGGCCTCTGAACTTGGAACAGCAAGTCTGGGAAGAGATGATAGTTCTGAAATTGCCATTGATGATTTAGCCATGGATGACGATCTTTCTAGCCCAATCGAAAAACTTGTGAAGTATGGATTGTCCAATATTGACGAGGGACTGTTTATGGGGCAGACCATTCTAGAGCAGTTGGAAGGCCGTCCAAAACATAAAGCTCATCCTAGATATAACAACAATTTAAAGGATGGGCACAATGGTAATACATCTAAGGCATCGTACTTGGATAAAAATGGACTGGTACCTTTTTTAGAGCCCGAGCATGGCGAGGTAATTGGTCATGCACAAAAGCTGTCTGATGAGAGTGTGGCAAGTGATGCAAGTTCTCTGAGGGGTGGAGAAATTTCAAGCTTTTCACGTTCAAATTCGATAGGCAATGGCTCACTTGACCATTCGAGTGCTGAGGTTTCAAATGCAATTGAAATTCATAGCAACCCTGAATTGCATTTTTCACGTGATGCACTGCTCCTCCCAAAGGATCATCGCCATAAAATGAATAGGGTTCTTTCAACAATGCATCAAAGGCTAGTGACCGCAAGAACAGACATGGAGGACCTTATATCAAGACTGAACCAGGAAATAACTGTGAAAGATTACCTTGCAACAATGGTATGCTACAAATCTTGTTTATTCTATAATGATTAGCTGGCTGTCCTTGGGCTAAATGTTACAATATATCTACTCTCTTAGGGCACCTGCGCATATCTATTTCTTTTTGCGTAATTCTATCGTAACTTTCGCATAACTAGCTCCATTTTACTATCACTAGTTCTCAAAATGACTCATGGTGCTGCTTGTGGTTTCATACTGGACACTGACAAACCTAATTCATCTTGTGGCAATTTGTTCCCAGGTTAAGGATTTGGAAGTAGAACTTGAAACAAACAAGCAGAAGAGTAAAGAAAACCTTCAACAAGCTATTTTGATGGAGAGGGAAAAAGTTACCCAAATGCAGTGGGAAATGGAGGAACTTCGTCACAAATCATTGGAAATGGAGTTAAAGTCGAAGTCTAAAGAGGTTTTTAATCTTCTAAATTGGCCATATTTAACTCATTCCTTTCACTATTTTGTACTAACTCTATTCGATGATAAATGCTCTAGGGTGAAAATTCGTTTTCAGTGCCTAGGAAAGAATTTACCCTCCAGGAGAAAGTTTCCTTGCAAGAAGAGCTTGATTCCACAAAAGAGCAACTAAAAAATGTTTCTAAGCGATTTGAAGAGTTTGAAGGAAAATCAAAAGCAGATATCAGGGTTCTTGTTAAAGAGGTTAAATCTCTTCGAAGTACCCAAGCCAAACTTAAACAAGAGCTTAGTCAAACACTTCAACAGAAGTCCAAGACCGAGGTAACACTGCAATCTTTTAATTGTTCTTAGACTAAGGTGTTAAACAAAAACAAAAGTTTAAGCTCGTATAGACTTTTTCCCGTTTTCTGCAACATGTATGCACGTGTTCGACATTGACAAAAAGTTGTGCTTTGGTTACTCGATCTGCTTTTTGCTCGTATCTCATCTACTTTTTACCAAGTAAAACATGAGCATTTTTCTCTCTCCGAGCATATATGAAAAAGGTCTACTATTTTAGCTGAAAATTGGGTTTGCAATATCTGTTCGGATTACTGACTGAGAAATTTTAATCGGCACGTTTTTATCCGACTGAAGAGTCAAATTTTGATATGTCCTGTTCTTTTTCTCCTCATTCAGGAATTCCTTCAACAGGAAAGAGAACTGAGACAGCATGCAAACGCAGCTTGGAAAAAGCTGCTGTCTGAATGTAGGAGCATACATGGTCGGCTTCAAAGCTGCAGCATAAATTTTACAGTAGATGATTATAACCATATTGCGGAATCGTCATCCCTGTCTAATGCGTTGGAGGTGCTGACTACATCCGAAGACCGACTAAATTTCCTTCTGACCGAGGTATCCAACATGTTTTGATATGTATCTTTTATGCTGTAGAGCTATTTGTGTATGCTTCCATGTCTAAACTAACTAAACCATTGGCTCCTCATCCCCTCTAGTAACCAACCTCCCACTATTCTACTACCAATCCCCTTGGCTCATGAGTAATGTACTCCCCAAGGCGCAGCTCTATTGGTGAAGGCACGTTGTCCCGAGTTTGTTTGTTCAAACCATTGGATTGGGTGAGCTTAATAAAGAAAATCCTTGATGTTCTTGGAGTGGGCATAGGTGCCGGGGGCGGGCGGGGCGTGCTGACGTTGCATCTTTTTTTCTCCATCGTCTCTTTAGTGTAGCTGTATCATCCCGCTGCTTTACGCTTGTTTCATTATGTGCTTTACGGTTTTCTTTCATTCATAATTAAAACGTTTCTTGGGATAAACTGTTCAGGCAAATCTTCTCTCCGATAGCATACAAACTGCTACTTCAACAACGAATGATGATGTTCAGGATGGCGAGTAGGATCGATTAAGGTAGAGGCAGAGTTGAGGATGATACTTAAAGACACGTTCACCGAAAACGTGTAGGTTGAGGAAATGGTGAAGCAGAGGCTTCTTCTTCACAAAATAGTAGAGTAAATACCACAACATGATTCCCTTTTGAATCAGTATATTATTCCCCTTTTCCTTTTTTTTTCCCTCTATTTGTTCTTCCCCTCCTTCCCCTATAAATATAAGAAATCTTTTTTGTTGATTCAGTAGTCATTTTGCACATCTTTGGATAAAATAATGCTGCCTGCTTGGTATGGTATAGGCGATGATTTTAGTTAGTGACTTGCTGTTTGCTGTCTTGACTTCTGAAAGCCAAAATCTTCCTCCCACGATGTTCTGTTCTTTAGGGAATGTTACCTTGTAAATTAGGCGGCCCTACACAACTGATAAGGGGGAGGCTCATATACCCCCAACTTTCGAACTATTTGCCTCTTCCTATGATGTTTTATTTTCACTTTATTTATACTTTTGAGCTATTTTGGGTTCGACTTCAGGAGCGGAACAAAATATTCATTATAAGAGCAATGCTTGTTGGGTATTTTAGTTGGACATTGCCTCACACCTAAAAAGAAACGAGCTTCGTCTGAGTTAAACTTGGAAATAGAAGTCTTCTTTTGCTTCACGACGGTGAAGTAAGACTGTGCTCATGAGCTTATTATCCTAGGTCAGAACAAGTTGATAGAAGGTTCTTTTTTACGTCCCCATGTCCCTTCCATGTGGCTACCTGGGGTGAAAAAGGAAAGTGAGGGATGGGGTTTCTCTCGCTTTTGGTATGGCGGACCCCGGAGGAGGCCCACACAATGGGCCGGTTTCCATAAATTAGTTTGACTTAAATGGAATCCATCAAAACTTATTGTAAATAATAATAAATACAAAAAAAAAAGTCATATAATACATCTGGATATACATATATTTATTATAATTTTATTTAATTCTACAAATAATAACTTTTTTTAATTCTTTATTCTCAACTACTTTTAATCTTAAAAGTATATGGATAGTAATTTTTTAAAAATTCAATTGCAAATCTCTCGAAAAATAAGTAAATAAATTTAACTTTTATTAAAAATAAAAATTTAAATAGATGACTCGTTTTTTAATACATACCTACAGAGTTTGCTATGACTTTTTACTATCGTCCAACCATTACTAAAGCTTTTGTTTTTTTTCAATATAATGTCGGAAGCTAACATTGGTTGGTTAATTTGATCTATTCATAGATGGTCGACAAGTATGATGGTCTTAATGATGATCCTGCACGTATTTCACGTGTATCTTACTGGTGGATTTAAAAAATCTCGTGAATTGACTTGGATTACAGGTGTGGTTTTGGCTGTATTGACTACATCCTTTGATGTAACTGGTTATTCCTTACCTCGGGACTAAATTGGTTATTGGGGAGTCAAAACTGTAATAGGTATACCATAAGCTATTCCAATAATAGGGTCGTCTATGGTAGAGTTATTATGCGGAAGTGCTAGTGTGGGACAATCTACCTTGACCCGTTTTTATAGTTCTAGGGTGACACAATTAAATTGAATTCATTATTTAATAAATATTAGTCGAGGTAAAAAAATTTATAATCCCAATATTAAAAATTATGGAAAACCTATATTCTCGTTAATTTGTTGGAAAAGTTTCCTAGAATAAATTCTAATTTCATTGTCAATCACATCAGCTTTAAAATATTCTTTATAAATTAAAATTCATAACGGGAAGGAAGGACAAAATTTATCAGTTATCAGTTATCTCATTAATATTAATATATAGAACTACTAATAAATTTCCATTTAAACCTGTAATACCATGCCACGTGGTGCTATGCCAGTGGTTGAGGCAACTACCAGTCCTCGCTATTAGAGCTCCGTCACGTAACAAACCCGTCGTATTAGAAAATCCCAGAAAGTCCAAAGGTGCGTAATTTAGCATATGCTAACGTGCGCCATTTCGCCTTTTTCTTTTCGTTCCCATTCAACCGCTCATTTGTTTCTGTGATTCTCTTCCGCCGCGCTTTTCCCTGACCTGGCAGGAAAGTTTGGGCTCAACTTGATTGTCTCGTGAGACTGAAATCTATCTTCACTTTGATGTGTTTGTCAGATTGATTGGATTTGGCAACGAGCAACAATTCGTTTTTGTTTGTGCACCGATGTGCTCCACCGGCGTTCCATGGCGTCTACGGCGGCTATTCATCTCCACATCTCCGCCTCTTGCTCTCTCTGCCATTCCAAGGTTCTCTTTCTAATCTGGCTCCGCATCTTTTTCTATAATTGTTTGTTAAGTTTGTGAAATTCGATGTTGTTTTCGGTATTGAGTTTAATGGCCTGAAACTTCCTCGAGTTTTTTTAGGATCTTTTATTTTTGTTGACGTTGAGACGTCACTAGAGATGTGATTGGGAGAGAGATTAACTTCTTGGACCGATGAAGATTGAAATATAATTTGAAGCTCACTTTTTACTTGTATCTTGTAGTATTACATTTTGATTTTGGTACTGGATTATTGTCGAATGATTCTGAGAGAGAGAGGTTAACTTCTTGAACCGATAAAGATTTATAGAGCATAGTATGTATATTTTTTCCAATCGCATGCTCTGCTCTTAGCTATGGGAATATTTTTCCTTCATCCTGCTGATGTTTATATTTCATCACGTCATGTATCCTGGAAGTAATTGAACTAGGTAGTCATGATTTTCTCGATTATCTCACTGGAATCTTCCGAAACTTATGTTCACTGTTGCATTTTATTTTCTGTGTCCAGAGGTCATCTCTTAGGTTCAGTAGGAATCAGACAAAACTTGCATCTATCACAACCCGGGGAAGAAGATGTCAGTCACTGAAGGTTTTCCAGTCAGTGCTGAATACCTGCAAGTCAAACGACAGCGGGGCAAGTGAAGAAGCAAAAGTGCTTCTGGAGAGATTGTTTGCCCAGACACAGAGATTGGAAGAACATGTAAGCAAAGATCCTCACTTTCCACAAGATGTTTGGTTAGGACTCAGTCTTGAAAATCTCGAGTCGGATCTTCAGGCTGCATTGGCAGTGTTGAAAAAGAAGGAAGAAGATCTACAAGATGCAGAAAGAACAGTTCTATTAGAACGAAGCCAATTAAACAATGCGAGGGAGGAGTTGAAGAAGCAGGAGGAAGAAATTACTGCTGCTTATCATAAACAGCAAGAATTAGAAGATGAGCTTAAGCAGGCAAATTTAAACCTTGCTTCTCAAGCTAGACAGATAGATGAATTGAAACTTCAAATTAGAGAGAAAGACGAGGGGATTGCTGCAGCTGAATCTGCCCTTGCTCTGAAACAAGATGAGTTGAATAGAATGAGAGCTGATTTGGTTAAGAAGAGTAAGGAAGCTGTTAAGACAGATTCTGAACTTAAATCCAAGTCCCAGCTTCTGAATGACGCTAACGATGTAGTGAAAAGACAAGAAGTTGAGCTGCAAATGCTTAAAAAGGCTGTTCTAGAGAAAGAAAAAGAGCTGGAAATTTCCATAAAGCTGCATAAACTTGAAGAGGAGAAACTGGAAGTTGCAGAGAAAAATTTGGAGAAGAGAACCACGGAATGGTTGTTAGAACGTGAAGAACTGAAAAAACTGAGAAACGAAGAGTCTGCAAAAGCAATCGAGAGGAATGAAACTATGAATGACTTCAACCGAATGAAGAAGCTCCTTACCGATGTAAAACGTGAGTTGGTTTCCTCTCAGAAGTCTCTCGTGTCATCCAGAAAGAAAACAGAAGAACAAGAAGGTCTTCTTGAGAAGAAAATGGCAGAACTTGAAGAACAGAAGAAGATTATCAATGCATATATGTCAAGTTTAAAAGATGCTCAAATAGAAGTAGAGAGTGAGAGAGTGAAGCATAGGGTCGCTGAGGCTAAGAACAAGGAGCTTGGACGTGACTTGTTTAGGGAAAAGAAGCTTACTGATGAGTTGCAACAGCAGCTGAAGAGAGAGAGATCCTCTCTCCAGCAAGCAACTGAGGAGAAATCACGTCTACAGAAGGAGCTGGAGCATAAAAATACTGAGTTTGAGAAAACCCACAATCTCCTTCAAAAGAAAGCATCGGAGTTGGTCGAGGCCAAGTTAGAAATCCAGCATTTGAAATCCGAACAGGTGTCACTTCAACTTTTATTGGAGGAGAAAGACTTGGAAATTCTTGATGCACAAAAGAAAATTGAGCAATTAAACCAGGAAATTGTTGAGCTACAAACGCTTATGAGTAGTAAAGAGGCCCAGCTCAGTCAGACAACTGCTATGCTGAAAGAGAAAGATGAATGTGTTCAGATAATGCAAAACGAATTAAACGACACAAAGCTGAAAGTTTCTGAAGCAGAAGCCATGGTAGAACAGATTGTGGATCTCACAAATAAGCTAGTGATCTCAATAAAAGATAAGGACGATGATGTTTTGCAATTAAATGATGATCTGAGCAACAACCTACACCAGCAGTTATTCAAGAAACCTAAAGATAACATGAGATTGCAGAAGAAACAGCTCGAAACTGAGCTAGAGCTCACCAAGGAAAGCTTGAGACAGAAAGAAATGGAAATTATAGCTGCAGAAAGGGCCCTGACTGTTAAAGATGAGGAACTAAAAATGGTTCTCAAAAGATTAGATACAAAGGAGAAAGAATTTGAGAAGATTAAGGAAGAAATGGATGGAGAAGCTAAGGATCTGAAAAATCTCTACGCTTTGGCACAAGACGGCGTTGGAGAGGAGGGCAACAATGGGGACTTGGCAATTGAAAGGCTTCTTCAAGTTGAAGCTGCTCAACTAGAGGTTGAAGCAGCAACCAATGCTCTTCAGAAACTTACGGACATGAGTCGAGAGCTTCTGAATAAAGCTAGCCAAAGCCTCGAGGCTGATACTGATTCAAGTAGCATTAAACACAACGATGACGTTGCCATCGATATCGATACCCGAACAAACATGCTCGATTATAACCAAAGATTGAATGAAGTGAAGCTGGAAGTTACCCATCTTTCATCTCTAACTGAACAGCTCTTGAAGGAGGCTGGTATATTTGGTAATGCGGATTAATGGAGATTATCGACATGAATAAAGGGAGTTTTTTTTTTTCTCTTTTTTTGTAAATATTGCTTAGATTTGGTATAATTTTTCCATCGCAAGCTAATTCAGTTGATGATTTTACCTTGTAGAAGCAATTCTGCTGCCGTTCAAAAGGTGTTCTAAAATTGTAGTACAAGAAAAATTTGATTTGGTTTCTTTTAACCTTCAAAGGTCGTTTAAATGCTTTTTAAAATTCAATTTTGAGGCTGA